TGGCAGTTTTGGTATCATGGCTATCTTCAGCTCGCGGGGCACTGGTCAGTTGGCGAAGGCGGCAGGATCATAAGAATATGGTTGAGCACATTTCAAGGCGTCTTGACCAAGATGTGTAGAACATTTGCGCATATGCGTACGATATCCAGAACATAACCAAAAAGAAATCCAAATATAGCTTCCAAATCGACTTTCATTACATTGCCATGTTGAGCCAATCGGAGTACGCCTAACGCGCTTAGAGCGATGACGACGAGGACCCTGCACGAAATTGTTCTTCCCGATAATCTCCGCCACCCGTCACATCTTCTTCAGCCCTATATACCCTGGCTTGCCTCTTCTTTTCGCCGTACTACTCTTTCCTTACGAATACTCACCATGGGTTGGTTTTGGGCAGACACCGCACCCGCCGCACCTGCTGCACGTGTTGCGCCGCACGCCATGCCTCGAGGCAGCATGAGCAGCATGGAACCACCAGTACGCACTCCCACTCCCCATATACACTCCCCACTAACAACCCACCAGCCAGAATGCCCGATGCACAAGAAACCCGTCCCGCCCGTCGTCGCCGAAAAGAAGACACCCGCCGGCGCCTGCCCCTACGTCCCACCTGAGAATGCCTCCACCAGCGCCTCCGAGCCACCCCCAAAGCAAGGCCTCCTTTCGCGCCTCAACCCCCTCAACAACATGTTCTCCGAACTCTCCAACGAGCGCGCCTCCACCCAATCCGTCAACCTCCCCCTTGACCGCGAGACTTCCACGATCCCCAAAGGCGACGGCACACTCTGGGAGTACCCCTCCCCCCAGCAAATGTACAACGCCATGCTGCGCAAAGGCTACACAGACACCGACATCACAGCCGTGGAAAGCATGGTCGGCGTGCACAATTTCCTCAACGAGGGCGCGTGGGCGGAGATCATGGGCTGGGAGCGGCGCTTCAGTCGTGGGTTGAAAGAAGGGTACGAGATATGCAAGCAAGGCGAGGACGTCGCGAATTTCAAACTGGGGACCCATGAGGATCCGTTTGATACGACGACGTGGGATCATAGGGATGTGCAGCCCCCGAAACTACTCAGGTTTACGGGTCGCCCCACGGAACCGACGCCCAAAGCCACGATTATGCAGTGGCTGGGCTACGTGATGCCAGAGAAATTCGGGACGGCGCCGCCGTTTGATCGCCACGATTGGTTTGTCGAGCGCTGTAATGAGAAGGGGTGTAAAGAGATTCGTTATGTTATTGATTACTATGAGGGTGCGCCGGAGGCGTCAGAAGCGGAGGGGGAGGGAGAGGCAGACGAACAACCGGTTTTCTTCTTGGATGTGAGGCCGGCGGTTGATGGGCCGGTTAGTGCGGCTGAGCGGTTGATAAGGACGGGTACGGATGTTTGGTGGAGGGCTAGTGGGGGTGTGGCGAGGGAGTTGAAGAAGTTGGAGGCGGAGAAGGCGAGGAGGGAGGAGGAGTGGGCGAGTAAGAGTAGGAGGTATAATTAGGATGGGTAGCGGGTCAGGATTGGTGTGTGTTGCATTGCGCGGCGTTTATGGATTGGACTGGGGGCTTTTTCGCTGTATGATTGGGCTTGTATGAGATATGGCTTAGGAACCTTTTTTTGAGACTCGGTCTGTTACGCTGGTATGTTTCTCTACTCTAGCTTCTCCTTTCTGTTTTAGTATTCTCCATGGCTCTTCTCGAATATGAATGACGCTCAACTTGAACCTCAAACTTCTTCCTCTACCTATCTATCCCCTCCGCCACAACTTGTTCTCGTAGTACGGTATGATATTCGATCCAGCCTGCGTATCGTGTATCGTGGCGTTAGTTAGGACAGGTTCGTCTGGAGGCACTTGTCGTATGGTCGCTCGAGGCAGCTGTGACTGTGGGTGTGGGATGTCGGAGATGGTACTAGAGCCTTCGGTGGTAGGTGTAGTGACGTGAGGAGTGGTGTTTGTATCGATTGGCCGAGGGACAGGGAGCGGTTCTGCGGATTTGGAAGATTTGGAAGATGAGCAACCCATGGTTAGTTTAGGAGGTTGGGAGTCGGTGGCTGGTGATGGTGGTGGTTGGTAGTAGGAACTTCGATGGTGTATGCGAAGTAGGCTTTCGTGAACTATAAGAGAAAGCGAAATGCGTGAATTCACTGTTGTTAGTGAAGAGATTCGCTTCGTGACTTCACATCTTCAACCAGCAAGACGATGCTTTGAGAAAATGGTATGGAAATTAGTGATTCACATTCCAGGGCTCATCACATCACAAAAGACATTCAGCCCATTCTCTCATTCATATGCCACTCATTGTATTCAGCTTCACATGTCAGTATCCTTTACTCCAGCACACCCATCACTCCATCATCTTATCCCGCGTGCTGATCCACGTGAACCCCGTGTCGTAATACCCATATTTGCTTGCCAAAGGTCCTCTCATCGGAACGGGAGTAGAGGGCGCTGTGATGAATGGAGGTGTGGGAGTGTTGCGCAGTGCTGATTGTTCAGGCTGAGACTCTGCTTCTAGCTTGGTGGGCGTGGGGGAGGGGGCCGGTGGATTTGCGGTAGGAGGGTTGGAGACGGGTTTGGGGATTGGTTTGGAGGATGAACAGCCCATGGTGAGATTTTGGGGTAAAGATGTGGAGCTTTGAGTGGGTAGAGAAAGGGTGGACTGTTTCTCTTGGAGGTACTTTTTGGCTGCGGAGAATGGGAAGCCTGTATGATTATGTATGATGAGCGGAGCTTTTGAGTATGGGAGGCACGTAGCTTTTGTGTGCGTCTTATACGTGCACAATGGAAGAGATCGCAGTGAAGCACACAATGTGAGCCTGTTCCGCGGTGACCTTGAGCTTTTGAATAACAGCACAAAGATAACTCTGCCAGTACTCAGAGCCCTGACTGCACGCATTCCACGTTCTGTCTTTTAAAATCTCTAGCTCGTGTGCACCCAACTATCTCTAGTCTCTTTCTCCACTTCCACCTCCTTCACCAGACGCTCTGCCCTCACTAGACATCCCTACAACACCACCGTCACCGTTACTAAACCCGCTGTCTGCTCTATCCAATTCACTGTATTGTCTGCCGTGCATATCACCTCCGTCATAAAACGGGGTGGTCCTATCATGTCTTCCGTTGTAGCGTCCATACGATCTGTCTTGGCCTGTGGACGCAGCAGCACCCTCGAAATATCCGCGGGCTCTTTCGCCGTTTCTCCGGGCAGCATATACTGCGGATATATGATTTACTTCGTCTTTCACGCGTTCGACTTCGCGATTTAGTTTTGATAGAAAAGAGCCCATGGCTTGGTAGTCTCTAGCTTGAAACAATAGTGCGAATGTGCGTGCGCTATCTCGAGTGCTTGCGGTAATATAAAGATGGGTGAAGGATGGCGCTGTGACGACGACAGCAACGTTTGTGAGAAGAAACAGACCAAGAGAACGGACGGGGTTCGTAAATTCGGGAAAGGTGAAGGACTGGTTAAAGTGTCGGTTTCGAGAGATGTTCATACTTCTTGGCTGTGCCGTAGCGGATATGAGGCACGGTTGAGAAGGCGGCTATGCTAGGCGGAAGTCGTTGTCTTAGTTGCGGCTGATACATTGGAAGCAGAAAGAATAGAATGCGCCTTTGACTCAGACTGCGGTCTGGTTCTAGGTTGGGCTTGGTCTTTGAGATCCACACACAACCATGGTACTGCGGTGACACACCACAGCATTCCAACGAACACCATCAAAGCTATCGCAATCAGAAATTGGAAGCACATACAGTCTGCTACCTACAAAAGAGATCAAAATAATTACAAGACAATAGGTGGGTCAAACAAACATGGAAGCATCGTACCCTTCGTTGTTCTCGTCGTTATCAACCACCACCTCCACCTCCACCATCTCCTCCTCCGCCGTACCCTCCGCCATCACCGCCATAGCCACCACCGTAGTACATTCTGCCAGATGTATTTCTGGCGTTTGTCCCGTCGGAAAGTATGTAGGGAGGGCCAGGCGGCTTCCCTGAGTTGGGACCATATCCGTCTTGATCGTGCTTCGCTCCAGCGAGTTTACTCGACATGCAGCCCATGGCTGAGGTTGCAGTGGGTTTCTTCTGTCGATGCTGCTAATGAAGACGATTGATTGTGCAGTATAAGCGGAGACAACAGCTATGCACGGCGATAGTGAGCAGTGGTCCGCAGGTTTGAGCAGTGAGCTTACTGTTGACGAGGTGATCTGACTGAAAAGTCGCTACATAATCATCAAGTCATAGTCGCTGAGAGCTACCCATCATATATCTTGTCGAACTTCACTATCCAGCTGAAAGTTGTGTGGTTGCGACAAGTACGAGAGAGGTCGTGTGATAACGCCTGTGGCGTGCGCCTCTTCGCATAAACTGATGCTTTCGCTCACAGCTCCATGTAAGAAAACTTGGCTTCAACTCAGGTCCAGACTTTCACAAGCCAAAGGCACACTTCAGAAACATCTCGAGAATCTATATTCGATGCGATAATTGATGCTGGGTATATAAGCGACAGTAACAAGAGATGCACGGCGATAGAAAGTTTAACGCAACGCTAACAACCAGAGGCGGAAATAGTCCGCGCCGTCGCAAGAAATTACGGAAGAATTGCGGAGCAGGAACAGAAGTAGAAGTTCGGAGGCGCGCAAGTGACTTTTTTTAATGTGGATTCAGCCCGATGGACTGCCTTGGAAGTGCCTTGAAGGCGTGCGGCGGCGGACTGGGCCTCGGCACGGACGGACATTGGATGGGAGGACCGACACGGAGCCACCGGTCAGTCGGTAATGCGCGATCGTCTCTCCTGGGAAAATAATGCCGCCGGAGAAAGACCGCAGAATATGCACCGGCATTTGATGCAGATGTGGAAACCTGTGGTCACGGCGACCGGAATGTGGAGGTGAGGTGTAATCGCGCTGTGACCGGTTTCGAGGCTGATCGCGAAGATAATCGCGACAATATATCGAACCACTGTCACACACCCATGTGGTGGGCGCACAAGGCTTCTGGCATGTCTTCCCTCAGACCGCGCCCATGAGGAACTTCCAGTGGAAATCGGTGCTGGTAATATCGAGCGACGGAGTCACGTCCCGTAAACTCGGTAATTTCTCCACTCCATTGGTCGTACCACTCCCGTTAATTTTAGGCAGTGACAGATTGTGGAGGAGAGACACAGTCCGTCCCGAGCCTGTCGCTAGCTCAAATGTGTTGCCGTTCGGGCTTCCCCTACCCATTGCATCGTGCAGCGCTAGTCTCATGACTGAAGTGATGCGTCGGAAGCGCCCAAACGCGTCTTCTTGACTGTCTTGAGCATCGCGAGGGCGAGGCATTTGCGAGGATAGTTGTTCGCGATAGTAGTCGAATGACTTCGCTATTTGGAGCTCGCTAGCGTCCCAACCCGGCATGGGCGAGGCGTGTATGGCCAACTTGCTCAAGCTGGTGATGGTGTTGATCAGGTTGAGCCAGTCGATCAGCGACACGAAATCGAAATGCTTGGTCGGGAGCTTTGTGCTGTTGTCAAGGAACTGTTCGACGGACCGGACCAAGGTGACGCGTAGTGATAGCTGGAAGCCCGAAGCCCACGGTGTACTATCGCGATCTACGAGATCGATGGAAGCTGCCGTTCGATACAGGTGTATGCGTGCTGCAAGCTGTAGCCATTGCAGTATCGCTAGTCAGAAATTAGCAATTGCGAACGTTACAGTGACGTTACTGCTTACTGAAATCCTTCGCTTGCAGCTTGGATGCAAGACGAATGTTCTCCCACTTATCGCTCAGTCGTTTGACTTGTGTACGAACAACCACTGCTTGCTCTGACTGATTACGGAAAGTCTCCTCCACATCCTCCATGTATTGACAGACATCCGTTAGTATTGGAAGGACGGCATCTGATGTGTTTTCCCACGATGAGGCCAATTCTGACGCGTAGTTTCGGAGCGTGCTGGTGTGCGTCATTGTCCTTGCCTTGACTGGCTCCATCAGACCCAAGTTGGAAGATAGGTAGTAACATCCCAAATAAGCCCGCTTAGCTTCCCTGTCTCGCGGGCTTTCCTTTTGTAGAGGACTCCTCACAGTCCTCCCTATACTGTCCAGACCCAGATCGTGTGCGATACCCAAGCACAACTGGAGAAGCATCGTGATCGAAACGGCTTGGACGTCCATGTAGTGATGATGCCAGGCTATGAAGACCAAGAGTCCCTGTAGGAGGTCCAAGCTCTTTTCGCCTTTCATTATCCGGACCATGACCACTTTACGAAACTCTAGGCTCAGTGCTCTTTGAAGCGGGACCGAATCGTAGGAAGAGACTGTTAGCACAGCAAACATCAACATCGTCCGACTCTGGAAGAGGTCCTGACAGCGGGCGTCTCTCGGTAGTGATACAAAGGGGAAGAAGTCGACCATGCTGCGATACGTGTCGAGCAGCATCTGCATGTGCACCAGGCTGATCGATCTGATAACAGGATCCAATCGGCCAAGGCAAGACAGTGTGTCGTTCATTGATTCCCAGAATGACGCCGAACTCTCCGATTGATTTGCGTGAGCCGGAAGACTCAAGGTCCTCGGAGCAGTTGGCATTGATACAGGCGGGGCGGTGATTGGTGTCGGCGTCGGCATTTGCTGTGTGGAATCCAACAATTGTGATGGGATCGTGGCTACCGAGGGCAGACTACATTGTGTCGGAGCCGGTGCCATCGTCGCAACAATAGCAGACAACTTGTCCAGCTTCTTGTCGAAGTCGCGCAACTTGGTGGGTGTTTGGCCATCGCTGCGCGCTTTTGCTGGCCGCCTGCGCGCAACATGTTCCACACACTCGACTCTTGCCTTTTGGCATCTGGGGCACGTGTCATTCAATGTGGAGCAAAAATATGGCTGGGGTAAACAAACCTCTGGCAGAGAGCCGGCGTGTCAGATGGAACGCAGCGAACCTTGTGTTTTCGACAGCGCTCGCACGCAAAGGCGTTCCCTATCCTCCCTTCTTTTGCGTCCATGGCGGGGACAGAACTGGCAGTCTTGGGGGAAGGAGAGCCATCGGCCTCCGGCTGGGTACCCAGGCTGCTCATGTGGGGAAGTCCGATCATGTGGTGCCAAGTCCGGGGTCAAACTGCAGTTGTGAATTGAGTCCCTCAAACGCGCGTAACGGGTGCACCAGAGATCAACGCTATGCTGACAGGGCGGGAGACAATGCCGCAAGCCATTGCATCGGAACAACTTCGACACAAGAGCCTTTGAAATGGGTTCCGCCGAGGGCCCGTCTATGTGGCGGTGCGAAATGATCAAGATACCTCGGGTAGTATATGTCGGTATATTGATGGTCCGCTTGGAACCGGTTGCTTACTCCCGACGGTCTGGGGGCGTGAAAGCCGCCTAATTGCCCTGGCGGAACTGCTCCGAAGCTCCATCCGGCACCAGTGCTGATAAGTCCGTCATGTCAACGTTGCGCCTCGCATTGAATGGACGGCAATGGTGATGGCCTCCAGTGCTGGCCAAAGCAAGCGGCGCGACGCTACCGTCATAGTTTCCTCGCTCTTCTCCGCCCAATTTCAATCATGACTCACCTCTAGTGCCACAACCACGACGAAATGACCCAGAAAGCGCATCGCGACTATCAGGATGGCTTCGCCGGGAGGATAGGATGGGGTAAACGTCCGGCGCTGCTACTTGTCGATGTTTGTAACGCCTACTGGAGCGATGCCAGCCCATTGGACACCAAGTCGAACCCTGCGTCTGCGGCGGCGCCCGCGTCCATCGCAAAACTCGTCTCTGCCGCCCGCCAAGGCAAAACGCCGTTGATCTGGACGCGAGTCGAATACACGAAGCCGGACATGTCGGATGCGGGCCTGTTCTACAGCAAAGTACCGCTACTCAAGCTGTTCCAAGTCGGCTGCGGGAACGGCCTTGAAAGTTGGTATCCTGGTTTAGAGCCCGCCGCTGGTGAAGTCGTCGTCCCCAAGCGCTACCCGTCCGCATTCTTCGGGACCGATCTGGCTGCGCAACTCCAAAGTTGCAACGTCGATACTGTCATAATCTGTGGTGTCAGTACAAGTGGTTGCGTCCGCGCGACTGCCCTCGATTGCATGTGCTTTGGATTTCGACCAATGGTGCGGATCGACTCGGCAACGCATGAGTCCCTGTAAATGTCACTAATCATCATTCCAGGTCGTGGGAGAAGCATGCGGTGACTTATCACCTGCGGTCCACAAAGCAAACCTTTCCGACATCAATGCAAAGATGGCGGATGTGGTTTCTGAGAATGAAGCAGTTCAGAAGCTGCAGGCTGGATGGAACTGAGCGGGCCGCGCGGCTACGGTACCGCGCCGCAGAACTAGTTCCAGGAGGTAAAGCTCCTGTCGCTGTCAGTTAATACAGTCATTTAGGTTCTTCTCAAGTTCGCCTACATGAAGCCGAGCAAGTTTCTCGTGTACGATACTGTGTCACGAAGGCATGTGGGGATGGCGGCCACCACGAACGACAAATAGCACGGAATATTAATAAAGCATACTCCTATTTCGAGAAAGAGCCAAGGGTAACGAAAGACGGGCTGTAGAAGGCGTAGTCAAGGTGCATCATCTAATAGGAAGGTGTTGAGCGTGGCGTGATGGTCCGTTCTTTCTTTTGACTAACATTCCACTTTGGCAACCACAAGCCAGGCACTGGGTTCACACGAGGCGATCCTTCACTATTCACTGTTTTGGAACCACTGCTTCACTGCGCGTTACTTTATCACACAAAATCACTCACATCGCTAGTCACAATGCCGACAAAACCTCTTAGCAGAACCCACGAGTGACAACGAGCAGACGCGTGTCCGGTCTCCGAGCACATTTGCGCGTTTGCTATCGATCACTGCATCGGCGTCTCTATATACACTTTCTAATCCACAATACACTCGAAAGCGACGCGACACTGTGCCCAACTCAAGCGCATCAACAACACTCGAAGCATTCCGATCACATTTCTCCGCCAGCGTCAGAGCCACCGCCAAAGCAATTTCTGATATGAACCGAAGAAACTCAGCGTTCCCGATACCACAGCACACGCCTTATCCCGGTGCAGAACCAGTGCCCGATTGTGTGTGGGTATGCTGTGGATGCAGAAGAAGATGGGAGACGAAGGAGCTCGGCAATCTCTGTGTCGGCTGCAGTCACAAATACTCTGTTGACTGTTGCCAGCTTGCCGGATAGCAAACCATTGCGGGGGTTGAGGAGATGACACAAGGATGAGTTAAGGTGCGCCAGTCTACGCTCTTGATCTAACAAAGGCTAATGTAGCGGCGTTCTTCAGCTGGTAACATACCCAGCGGTCGAGAGTGTGTACGGAATTGTGCTTGTAGCCATGGATGAACGTGATGGTGGCAAGCGCAATCAAAAAAAGTATCCATTGGTATGCATCCCTCTTCAATGCCATGATCTACAAAATTCACTCCGCTCATGCTTCACACAGGTAAAGTGCTGTACTCCATTCGGTCCTCTAACACAACTACTGGGTACCCATTCGGCAATAAAGCTAACGCCTGACTCTGCTTGATTCCTCCAATGGCTCGATTTGATTGCATACCTTCCATACACCATTACGCTCCTCATCGGCGGTACTACCATCTCTTCCGACCACTTAGATTCAGGTCCTCATGGTTTGGTGCCCAGCGACCACGGCAGTTGGAAATCTCCTTGGGGGCCTGCCCCGGACGACTTCTTCGGTCTCCACATGGCAAAGATAGGCGGAGGCGTGAGCTCATGCGCGCACTTCCTCCACTCGTCGCTCGCTTCCGACTTCTCGTTGTCGAAAGCAATCTTCAGCAGAGACTGAAATCCAAACTTGTCGTAAAGCGGTTTTCCCATGGCAGAAGCTTCCATCCAACATTCGAGATCAAGCCCGTCCGCGCGTGTAATACCAACGTGCATGAGGAGAGAGCCAACACCACGATTCCGATGGGCAGGGTCTACCGCCATCCAGTTGAGTGCTAATACTAAGTCAGCGACAAGAAGAAGATCTTTTCGACTTTTCGCACAATCACGTTTCTTCATCCGGAAATAGCGCGTTTGAGGGGAAAGAAAATGCTCCACTTACCACAGTGTGGCCGCGTCATCCAATTCGCTCGCGGCCTGTACACCTGATTGAGTATTGACTCGCAGAAGCTCCGATATTCGCCCTCGGGCCACCATGGCGCGGTCAACTTTGGTGTGCCTGCAGCGAATGGGTTGACAGTCGAAATTACCCATTGCGAGCAACCGACTGTCTTGTTAGTGACTGTGTCGAAGGCGTAGAACCAGTGGCTGGAATTGTCCTCTTGGTGTTGTTTCCAGAAGCGTTGTTTTGATTCGGCGACGGCGAGGTCGCGATGGGCGCTCGTGTAGCCAAGGACCGGGAAGAACAGTTGCATGAACGGCTCATAAGGTGTGTAGTTCGCAGCCCAGATAACATCCAGTATCTCATCCAGCTCTTGCTTTGTCTTTGCCTCCCGGATCACGTATCGTTGTCCCATCGCAGTGGATTGGCGGTTGCGTCAAGCCATGGCGACATCGGCCAGGTAAAGTAGTCTGCAAGTGCGCTACCTCGCCGCCGCTGCGCATTGACAGCGCAATCGGAGATATAGCTTGACCCAAGTATTGGACATCGTAGATTGCCGTGTTAGGGTGAAGTTGCCCAACAAGGAAGGTACCGTCGACACATTTAGCGTCTTGGCGAGGCTGGCAAGTAACACCCTTTTGCCCCAGCACACCTTCCCCGATAGCCCCTCACTTTTACACACATCCAGCCACTCGGTAGCACTTGTATCGCTATCATCATCTCCAGATGCTTGCGACCTTCCTCGATCGTACCGGCGCCGCAAGACAGATTTCTCGGCGATGTAACGATGGACCGAGGCTGGTCGCGTCGCTATTCATTCATGGTCCGCGCTCGGAGCGGTGCGATTGGGGTATGGTGTTGTCGGGACGTGCTTGCGACGTATGTTTGTGAAACTCGAGGCGAATTCTGTGACACCCAATGAGCGCGCTCCGTCTTATGGAGCCGCGGAGGCTTGCTTTCTACATTCACTCCACAAAGCGGATCGAAGAATGGAGCGACCTCCAGCATATGCGCCAGTCTGCAGCGATGAACAGGAAGAAATCCTAGCAGAGCTAGAAGAGAAGGATGGCGTTTCCTGGAACTCTAAGAGTACTGAAATCATCCCGACCAACACGCGCAGCTTCGTGGCGTACATGTCCATCCTGCTGCTCTCTCTTTCAGCGAACATTCTCCTGGTGATGGACAATGCAAGGCTTCGAATCGCGCACAGTCCAGCTAAGAGCAACTACAGTAAGTGACAGCCTGATCGGTCTGATGCTAGCTCACGAAGATCAAAGGTGGATTAGCCTACGATACTACTGTGCCATATCACGCGACGACAAAGTACTGGCATCCGAACGCCAGTGATAGTGATATGGAAGGGGCATGGGACGCTATTGACACCAATGCCATGGCAGTCACGCTCGACGACAGATTCGCAAAACGTGTCGGTCTACCCAACTCTACTCGGTTTCCATGGGATACTGAGAGAAGCATCTACTACGTCAAAGGAATCCATGATCTGCATTGTCTTGTACGTATACATGATGATGTTTGTGTCCATCCGCTGATTGCATCAGAAACTCATCCGGAAAGCCATTGTGTCAAAGCATAACGACGACCCACAGCCCTTCAATCTCCTTCACATCTACCACTGCCTTGACGGACTTCGGCAGGACATCATGTGTAATGCGGACGACACACCGGTACCAGCCCCTGTTACACACCAGTCGGGCGAAGGTCAGCTTCGACAGTGTCGTGACTGGGACAAGCTGATTGCCTGGGCCACGCGTCCTGACCAACATGCTTGCTACGAGTTTGACGATTATCGTGAAGCAACGAACACACTGGAAAACTTTGCATTCTGTCCTCCGGGTTCGCCTTACCGGGAGTTTCAAGAGGCTTATTTCCAGCATCATGGACACAAAGACGCGTATGAGCTGTATGGTGATGAAGAAGAAATCGTGGTTTTCTGAAGTCGTGGCTGGGATACACCTTAGGCATACCTGGTGCGGGAACGTTCCTGGTCGTTTGCACCAATTAAAATACGAATGTACCTGTTTTGAAACTTAATCGCGGTAGCAGGGACCACTTTATCGTCAGAAGTTCGGATGAACATGCAACTTAATATCGATGGAGGCTACACTACATGATCAGCATCAGCCACTAATGGTCGAACGCCATGGATCGGAAGGGTATGTACCTCAGATCTGCCCTGACCACGAAAAGCGTCAGGCAAATTCCGCGGCCAACTCCAAGGTCAACCGATGTCCCATGCCGTCAACGCTTCCTTATATCGGCCCGGGCCAACTGCATTGTTACGATGGCCGTGCGGCGAGAAGGCAAAAAGCGCAGTGCGACACTGGCAGGAGTAAGGCATTCATAGAGAGTGGATGAGCGGCGCCGAAGACATGCGCGTCTGAAACTTCGGAATGGCATGATTACCTACGAGAAGTAATAGTTCCGAAACTACTACGCTGAGGTACGTAGCAGTCGACACATATATTTCGAGGCGAAGGACAGCAAATTCAACACCGTCTTCATCCCGTCCTCACACACTATCTTTGACGTAAGCAAGAATGTCTTCGGGCGGGTTTATCCACTGACGCCGAGCAGAACCAAAAGATCTCACCAAGCATATCAATTACCAACTACCTGCCATGCACGCTACTATCGCTCTACTTCCGCTGCTTGCCTTCGCGATGGGCATCGCTGCAGCTCCAGCACCCCTGCATCCCGTTGCCCGGGCCGTACCAGACATCAACGAAGTCGCCCGAAACCCGGCTCCCATCGATCATCATGTCGGTTGGGACGACCATGGCAAACCGACACTCGGGGATATCAGCCACCTCAGTCCAGAGGACATCAAGAAGCTCAAAGACCTCATTAAGCATCTACTTGGTGGCAGTCACTCTGCGTAGGACCTTATCAGAAGTCGTACATGGAGAAAGTGACGTCATTTAAGGTACGCGCTCGAAACTTCGCTTTTCTGAGATGTAGCTAACAAGTGTAGCTCCCAGAATTCTCCTACAGACAAGTCTGCCATCTACTTGCGCATACGAAAGAGGTGGAGTCCTTTTCCCGCATGCGTCGTCGCTCTAGCCGCCAGGGCCGCCATAGCAATATGATCAAATACGACTAATTTCGAGATTTTTACTGCTCTACTTTACTTGCTCAGCCCTGAACATTCCGATCTGTCTTGGCTAATTCCACGGCCTTTTTCATGCAACAACCTGTGAGCAGCCATCATCTGACGCGCAGCGCCACCACTGCAGCGACCGCCCCACTGCAAGCTCGCGTATCAATGGAACACTGCACAAGATATGTGCTGGCAAATGTTCCACGACGGCATTGGTCAATTGACCATCAATCGCCCGGCAACGTACAGTCGTGACACATTGCCGAGCCTGATGTGTCACAAAGGTCACATCACGGTAGAAGATCCCAGAGTGAGCTAATCAGCGATCGGAAGATGACGAGTGTCGTTGTAGCTAGAGAGCTAACATACTGGCTTTCCTCCGCCGCTTACTCCCGTAGCTTCCGACGTGTACCTTTCACTAACATACCAGCAAATCCTAACCTGACCCGAACTTCCGGCGCAGTAGCACAAACAGCTCTTTGAAACAGAAAAAGTTCAACCGAGGATACACAAGCGTCTGGCCGACCTTGCATGTTCGTCCCTCTGTGTGGCTGCACCTGCGCAACGTCGTACCGCCGCTTCCTGGTCTAGCAGACCCCTTTTCCCCGGTCTACTAACAATCCAACTGACTTCGCTTGTTTGCAAGTGTCTTGCTCCAAGATTAAGAACGGATAATGACAGCGTGTGCTATGGTGATTGTGAGCGAGCCCTCAATGCAGGTTACCTACACGGTGGCAGCTCGCAATCTCACATTACCTGCACGTCATGTCGGTATTAGACGGTTGAGCGCGTTTGTAAGCTCCACCTTCATACAAACGAGCAAACGGCCTGTTTGCACGCCTTCCCTTGTCTATTCCTGCGCGTGATAGGCCACGCATAATACCTCGCTACCTATTACTGGCGCACTCACTTCGTCGGTATCTAGCCATTCTAACCTCGGATACGATGCAATGATGCCGCAATCTCTTTTTGCTTCTTCCCATCATCCCCTCCCGCGCCAACCGGGAAGCAGCGCGGATGTCGGTCCGTACATCAATGTGATTACGTGGGTTCTTTTGATTACCTCCGCGTTGGCGGTCCTGACTAGGCTTGTTACCAAGCGTGCGTTGAAGCGGAGCTTAGATATTGACGATGGTTTTGTCTTGCTGGCTTTGGTACGTCACGTTTGATTGAGCTGGATTATTGTTTCAAATCCCGCTTTTGCTGACTGATGGGGAATAGATTGCGACTATAGGCTCTGGTATCTCTGTCAGTGTCCAGACAGGTCATGGCCTTGGGCGAGACATCCTGCTGTTGACTGAGGATCAGATCTTGGCGTATCAGAAAGTAAGCGGCTTAGTGACCGTTGTCTACATTGATATTCTGCTAAGTTCTTTTGTAGGCCGAGTATGCGAACAAGCTGCTCTACATCGCAACTCTGTGTTTCGCAAAGTTGTCCATCATCTCGCTGCTAAAGATTCTGACCGCATCAAAACTACATCGGATCTTAGGTTTGCTACTCACCGTCTTCATTGCTTCTTGGAGCATCCTGTCTGGACTTGTGTCTGCGTTTCAGTGCGGCGCTGAAGAGCCATGGCGCTTCCTTGAGAGAGGAGGGAGTTGCTTCGACTTGGTATGTAAGACTTCGGCCGTCTTCATTGACATTGCTGACACTTCGAGGAGGCCGCCTTTTGGCAGTCCGTGGGCGTCGTGAACATACTGACGGATCTGGCACTCATACTGTTCCCGGTTCACGTAATCATGACCCTACAAATGAGCACGAGCAAGAAAGTTACGATCCTGACGTTCTTCGGCGCACGATCACTGTAAGTTTTGCATATAACTATCATAGTAGTCTTCTACTAACGCGCCACAGAGACATCGCAGCGACTGCCGCCCAAATGGCGTTCCTCCACGGCTTCGCTTCACCCAACCCGACGAAAGACCTCTGGACATGGACACTCCTCACCCAGATCATTGAGTGCATCACCATCCTAACATCATGCGTACCCTACCTACGACCGCTCCTGGAGCACGTTCCATCAGGTCTCTACGGTACCGACACGATACGACACCGAGGTACGACCCCAGAGCACGGCTACTCGCGCACTAAAAGCAATTCGTATCAGCTCTCCAGCATCGCTTCGAAAGTGGGTAGCAGAACAAAACATAATCGGAAGAGTCAGGTGGAAGGTGGCGGGCTCAAACGCTTTTTACCAATGCGCTCGCACAACAGAACGACAAATGCAAATTCTGCATCGGGCATCCCTGGAGGTCCTCCGCGACCTGACGGCGAAATGGATGTTGAGATAACAGCTGTACATCACAAACATGGCGACGAGAAACGGTGGGATGACAAGAGATGGGAGACTGCAAGTACGGGCAGCTTTTCGAAGATCCTGAAGACTACTGTTGTTAGTGCGGAGTGGGAAGACGTAGGAGCAAAGCGTGGCGATGCGTCCAGTGATGAGATTGCGATTTTGCGTTGATGTTCGCTCGTTAAAGGTGCTTTTGCGGTAGCATCAAGAGTTCTATACCCATTGATCTGGTGCTAAAGTCCAACGAACCCAATGGTGCACGATCTTCATGATTCCCTCATTGTATCAAAAGAACTACGACACGTTTGTTGACCAGTGTCAACGTCGAAATGCCTGAGTATCGTGACATCATACGCGTGAAATTACAGTCAATGCTCCGGCGATGTGGTATCCCCGTGGGCCTGTGAAGCTGTGCGAACGTTTTGCAGTGCCAATTGTCGCGTGGCTCACGCACGGGTTGCAACCTTGAAGATTAGTGAGCTGGTTCCAATTGCAACTATCCGTCTGAAGGTTTAGAACTGACATGCCACTCAGCTGCGAGTACCGAGTCCAAATTGCTTATAGGCTAGAGAAACTTGAATGAGCATAACTTGCACGCGAGGTGGGTCAAGCCCGATACCAAGTCCGGCATTCAAGTTAGCCCCACGCTTGCTCCGGTCAACAGCAAGTCGTGCGCCTTTTTGGGCTTTCGCCCCCTGTAGCATGCCGCACTTGGACTTCTACTAGGAGATGTAACGCGGCATGCCTGTGGCTGCATATGTCAGCCTCTAAGAGTAGATCGAGATGCAACACGCGTGAACTGCATCTGCGCAGGTTCCCGACAATAGTACGATGTCCGAGAGTCACGCTGAGGCGTGCAGGTGATGGTAGTGGACTCTGTGCAAGGGACAGAACAGCTAGACGCCACATTGAGATCGGCCTGGTTGTGTTCTGGTAACGCATTCTCTGCTCGCATGGAACCTTTAGGACACAAAAGCACCACACGACTCGCTTGGAATGCTGGAACAGATATCGCGATGCGTCATGATAGCCGTTGAGAATGCGTGCACGGATGGAGGAGGCGACTTCCCACATGGGCGGTCGATTACTAACTAGCGTCACACAAGATGGAACGAACCCCGGAGCCACCCCTTCCGTCTTCCCTCATTCCCCAACCACCGCACCGCTCATCGTCCAATTCGTGCCACGGACAATCTGCCGGGAGGTCTATGCCTTCGACTACAACGGTGTGACAGCCGTTATTGTGACCACATGCCGCATGCTCTACCCTCGATCAGCATGCCGAGGGGAGACGACGGCGGCCCAATGTTGCACGCCCAGTGACATGCAGCGACGAATGACGCTCTGAACCCCTTTTCGCGATTGAAAACCATCATGATCTACTGCTGAGTTCGGGAAGTACCAACGCCTCTTTCTTGGGCATATGCAAAGCGCGACGCGCCGGTGCAAACACGCATCTGTCCGTTCCAGCATCGACCATGCCGTTTGACAAACACGCGAAGACCGGGGAATGTTAATTTCGCCTCTACCACACTTAATGCATGCGAACAAGGGGTCTGCAGGAATGCATGTCACCGCTTTCCGCAGGTTAGGCACCCAATGGTGTGCGACCGAGGCACCAATCAACGCCCGTTTCACTGTGGGGTGCCCTCTGAAACTACGACTGCAGTGCGATACGTCGACTTGCGAGCTGCCGCCGTCACTGCAGAGAGCCTACAACTGCCTTTGCGGTGCGAAACGTTGGCTTGGTGTCTTTCACTCGGACGCTTAGTTGCATTGCCGAGCGACCGCCTCCTAGACCGACCTCACTACCGTCTTTGCCGGCGATCACCGTACTACCGCATCCACCCGTGGACATCTGCACATGGCGCACGTTACCTCTGGAAGAGATATATATCGAGATTTACTTGCATTGCATGCGTCCTGTATCACGACACACCTTCTGGGTATCTTCTTTCCTTTCTGGTCTGCCTGCTTACTCGACATTTGTTACTACGTACTGCGGTCGTATCCGTCTTGTTGCTCAACACGCCGCGGATCGAAAAGCTGGAACCAAGGCTATCATGGAGAAGCATATCGAACTACAAAGGTTCAACCATGAGCCTTTGCGGCCAAGGGGCCGGGGCTCCATCTCGGAAGGCAAAGGCCAGCGATTCGATAACGACAGATATGAATTGGCGAAAGTGGGAAAGAAGCAGGTGCTGAAGGTATGCTCACTTTTGACAATATGTTTGCTCGGTCTGATCATGGTAGCGTCGCTTTGGACTGGTGTCTATGACCGGTCTCTCTTGCGGGTTGATGTGCACCTGGGAGACTTTGCTTGTGTAAGTCCACATAACTGACACCAACTACCTGGCTGACGTCATGGCAGTATCTTTTCAATAGGCTTCCAAAAGTAAGTGCTCAACCTATACAGCGTTGCAGCAGCAACTGACGATGACTACAGCGGCGGACCTGCTGGTCTCATCTACGGCTTCATACTGATATGGCTGGGCAACTTCTCCGTCTTTGTCTGCATCGGTGAACTTGCAAGCGCCGTCCCGACTTCTGGTGGCCAGTATCACTGGGTCTCTTTACTGGCGCCGCGCTCAAACAGGAAGTTCCTCAGTTACGTGACTGGTAAGTTCGTCAACTTCCAAAGCGATTCTAATCATATTAATCATCTTAGGCTGGCTCACTGTCATCGGCTGGATCGCAGCTCTTACTTCCGTATGCTACTTTGTAGCCGACTTGATCCTGCAGTTAGTCAGTCTGAACGACCTCGAGGGCACATATGTCCGCGAAGGCTGGCACGGCACACTACTCCTCTGGGGTATTCTACTCTTGTGTGTCTTCATCAACGTCTTCATAAGCGGAGCGCTTCCCACCATCGAAGTCGTCGTCCTCATCGTCCATATCCTTGGCTTCTTCGGCATTCTAGTGCCATTGATATACCTGCCATCGAGCCACAATTCGGCCAAGAGGATCTTCACGATGTTTCATAATGATGGAGGGTGGAGCACGCAGACTCTGGCCTTCTTTGTGGGACTACAGGGCAATGCTTTGGCATTCGTCGGAACAGACTCAGTCGTCCATGTAAGCTCAACATTCCCAGTCCGTCTTTCCTTGCTAACAAAGTAGATGTCTGAAGAGGTAAAAAATGCCAGCACCGACGTTCCGCGTTCAATGCTTCTCAGTCTTGTCATCAACGGCACATTGGCATTGGGAATGCTCTTCGCCGTTCTCTTCAGCGCCCACGATATCACATGGTTACTCAACGACCAAAAAGCGACAACCGCGCCTTTCCTTCGCATATTCACACAGGCTGTCGGTTCCGAGGCCGGTGCTACAGTCATGGTTGCAATCATCGTCTTACTCGAATTCTGCAGTGCAATGGGGTGCCTTGCAGCTGCATCGCGCATGACATGGTCGTTCGCCCGAGACCGCGGCCTTCCTTTCTCTCGCGCTCTCAGTATGGTAAGCACACGTGCCCATGAAAACACGTTCTAAGAGCCTTCCACTAACATCCCACAGATCGACAAACGCAGCACCATCCCCGTCGTCTCCATCCTCGTCGTAACCGTCTTCGCCGCCCTCCTCGCCCTCATCAACATCGGCAACAGCGCTGCCTTCAACGGAACGATCTCCCTCGTGCTAGAAGGCTTCTACCTCTCCTACCTTCTCGCCATCGGCCTTCTCCTCTGGCGCCGCGTCCGCGGCGACCTAGACAACCCCGACTCCTCACTCACCATCTTCAACGAAGCACAAGTGGACGAGGCGTACGACCGCAGTCTGACCTGGGGCCCTTGGCGTCTCAAGGGCGCGTGGGGCGTTGCAAACAATGTGGTTGCTATTTGCTACCTTACTCTCATCATCTTCTTTAGCTTCTGGCCTAGCCAGCCCCATCCGGATCTAGTAAATATGAATTGGGCGGGCGTGGTGACGGGGGCGGTAGCCGCGTTCAGTGTGGCATACTACTTGTTGTTTGCGAAGAAGTCGTATACTGGGCCGATTGTGGAGGTAGATCCTCATGTGTTGTGAGGAGGATTCGGAGTGGAGCTATCTGGCAAATGTAGGATCAGTGTGTAGTGAGACAACGTATCAGAGGAAGGCTTTCGAGACTTACTGCTGTGTAGTGTATGCTAGGTGAAAAGTTCCGGGACATAGAGGCTTACAGTTGAGGCTCAACAAAAGCGCGGTATATATAGACTGGACATACGATCAGCCCGACATGACTTGCGAACAATACAATGAAATTTGCCTTCCATATCTGTTAGGCCTTGAAGAGCTGCCAATATCTCTCTACATTAGCTGAGACAAGCCTCTCAAAACCTCACTCACTATACACCGATTGGAACGAAAAGCTGTAATCATAATCATTCGTTATCATACATAACTCATAGCATGATGAAATTTGCCTGTATATGCGCGCCTTTGAAAGCCAAAATAGTACTCATGTGCAATAGAGCGTGAGAAAAGAAGAAGAAGAAGCATCCAAATAACCGGCCGTAACTCATCAAAAAAACATCATAGAAAAAAGTGCTGCACCGACAGCCCCATCTCCACCCACTTCCAACTTCCAAGTTCCAGGCAGAAGCATCCAGATGCCCTGCCACTTTTTCCATTCCAAAATCTTGTTGAAACCCCAAGCTTAAGAAAGCGCCCCCATAGCCAACGCCACAATCTTAGGATTCGGTTTATCCTTTCGAACCAGAACTACCAGAAGAATCAACGAGCCGTTCAAAGAGTGTGCTAATGGGCCGAGCGAACAAGGGCTAACCTACCCTTCCGGTCTCTGTCAACGCGCATAACCTCCTTGCGGGGCGTACGCTCGACAAACTCATACTCGCGGTCGCCCTCG